CTTAGACATCTTAAAACTTGCCATGTTGAGCTTTAGTCGCAGAAGCCATAAAAATAACCCTCTCAATATACCAAAAGTGATCATGATGAAAGCAGACAATGAATCGAAAATTTGCCTGTTGAATAAAAAACGAAAACCTCTTTCCTCGCCTATGAACGCCAATTTAAGTACAACACTGGTGAAGATTTTACCGTGAAAGACACTAGCATGTAGTCGTCAGGTATCTATACAGAGAGTGTCCGAATTGCGTTAATGAAGTCCTCGGTTCTTTGTGGCGTAACACTCACTACTCGAATCGACAAATCTTCATTTTACTCCTCACTCTCGACTCTGAGGATAACTTCCGCCATGATTATGGAAACACCAGTCACTACTAACGAAAACTCCTTCTCAGGACAACTCCCACCCGGAAGAATTTACTTCACGATCAAATATTACTGCATCATGTATTTTTGTATTCATTTATATTCTTTATTTTTTACAAAGAAACAAATTGAAAAAGAAGCAACTGTACCAACGTTAGGTATTTCACGCGGATACGCTCTGACAAGTTATGTCCAGCAAATTTTATCCCAGATTGAGGTTGATTTTAACATGGAAGCCGTGACCAACAATTTTCTTCTGCGTGAAGTTTGAATCGCGTTACAAGCACCAAGGTCAGGGTTACTTTAAGGCGCAGGAAAACTCGACTTCCGTTGACGAAGTTATTAAAATGAAAGCGTAGTGGGCTCTCTGAAATGGATACTTATTCTGGAAATCTCTTAACCAAATGTGTTCAGTTCCGAGATGAAGAGCAGTTTATCGATGTCCGTTTAAAAGTCGGTAAAGAAACTTTTCCCGCTCATCGCAATGTGCTCGCTGCGTACAGCGATTACTTCTACGCCATGTTTGCAGATGGAGTGAAGGAATCGAACCAGGAAGTGATCGAGCTGAAAGATGAAAGCCTTTCACCACACGTCTTTAAGGTCGTTATGGACTCCAACTACACCGGTGAACTTCAGATCAGCAAGGAAAACGTGTTTGAAGTTCTTGCTGCCGCAGACTATCTTCAAGTGAGGAATCTTCTTCAACAATGTTGTGATTTCTTGTTGACTGAAATTATTCAGTCAGCTCGATTTGATGTGCAAATGTATTGTTGCGTTTGGACAATTACCGATAGACACAGCCTTAGAGAAGTTAAGGAGACCGCAGATCACATGATGGCATCCATGTATACAGATGCTAGTGAAAGTGAAGAGTTCCTGTCAAATATCGACGCAGACCAACTACTCAGCCTTCTCAGTCGAGATGACCTCAATGCACCTTCGGAGACGTTCATCTTTAAATCAGTGCTGCAGTGGATTAAACACAAGAAGGAGGAGAGGATGGCAGTTGCATCCAGAGTCATCGGAGCAGTTAGTCTTGGTCTGGTGGACGTCAAGGTCGTAATTGAAGAACTAGAAAAAGAAGAAATGCAGCGAGATCCTGAGATTAACAAACATTTACAAATAGCAATGAAGCGTCACTGCATGCCTCACAAATTTGCTGTGGAGGAAGTTAAACCGCGATCGATGAAAATTTTAAGATAGAAAATGTCCTACAAAAATTAATTAAGACTCTTTTAACTCAGGAGATTAGACAATGGAGGTCATTTTATTAAAAATGGCATTTTTCTTTCGTATAACTCAGATATTTGCCGTGATTCTTCCGATTCGAGTAATGTTAATTCGATCCCAATCATTGTTCTACGAATTTCAGTTTATTTACCCAGTGTCGATTAGCAGTAATTTGGATGAATGCATGTTTGATAATTGACTGAATATTGAGTATTATCTTGGTTTGGCTATCTTGTCTTCTTTTCACTCGGTTTGGCTTTTGCACAGTTGATGAATTATAAAGGTATCACAAGTTTCATCAGTGCCCCAATTTTTTTGGTTTCAAATCTGAATCTACAACATCATCTGACGGTAATCAACTTAGCGTACTGTTGCTTTGTGTTATTTAGATGTTCTGTTGTATCCTGGCTTCTGTCTTGTTCACCCCCGCTACTTGTTTACATGAATGTCGTTATCTCATGTGAATGGCAAATATAGGTCGGCATGCATGCGGTCGCTGTCTTTTCGTGACTGTCGCTAAAAAGATGTCAAATTGCAATCGGCGATAGAATACTTATTGCCTATCCTGGCATTGAGTTAATATCATCGCTGAATTATGCCTTTGATTTGACGCCAATTCCTGTTTCGGTTTGTTTTCTGGACGAGTACAACACAGAGTAGGGCAGGAAAAGAATTATATTGTGGTGCTGAATAAAACCTTGAACCATAGCATGCATAGCATACACATGCAGTTATTTTCTTTTTGTCGAAAGTGTTATACCAGGACTTTATCCAATGCAATGCAAGAAACGAGTTTTTCTTTCCTAAACTGCACGGCAAGAAACGATGTTATTAAAACGGGGACTGGGGACTGGCTCATGAGGATTGGAAAATAGTTAAAGGAGAATGGGGAACAGGCAAATAGGAAAATTGGGAAATGAAGCGGGAAATTGTTAAATGGGAAACTATTATTTTTTCTAAAGTTAACTGTCTGTAATGTGGAATAAACAATTTTTCAATTAATTATGTTTCTTTTATTTTGCCGCAGTACGTTGCAAAAATCGTGTTCATCGATAATCACCGCTGAAATTATTTCCCATTTTCAGTTTTCTAATTCATTTTCCCATTCCCAATTCCCCATTCCTCGTTTAAGTAACATCCCGGCTTGAAACAAATGAATAAAAGTTGTAAGGTTAAAAAACAGAAACTCTTTTTATTTTCAGGAGGAGCCCCATAAGCGAACTATTAGGAAACTAAGTAAAAATCATACCCTAGCAGGATTATTCATCCACTAGATTGCGGGCTAATAAAAAAATATTATTTTTTCGTGAAAAAATGATATATAAAGTGCGCTGGATATCATTAACATGAACTTTACGTTTAACTTTACGATAACTCTTTGTTTGTAAAGACTGCGATATTTAAATCTCATGTATTGAAAGAAACTATAATGTCACATTTTTTCACTAGAAAATTAAAAAATTCTGATTGATTTAGATTTATTTTATTTTCTTCCTCTCCTTCTTATTTCACATGTTTATTCACTATTCTGTAGGTTCTTGTTGCGTTTCGCTCAAAGGAAAGGTCATACTGTTACAAGGCTGCTGACCAGGCGATGACTCACTACTTTGATGAGGAAAGTAAAGTATGGAAACCGTTACAAGCTGTGCCAGATGTAGGTGAAGATGTTATACGGTGGTCTAGTGCAGAACATATCGGAAATTATTTGTATTTAGTCTCAGATTCATCAGACTCACACATTTATAGTTATCATGCAGTTACAAAATCTTGGGAAAAACTTCCAAAGTTTAGCTCCTCCAAGGAAATCCATTGCTTATGTTCTGTTGGCGACTACGTTTATGCAATAAGTCGATCCAATCCACCTAAGATTTACAGTTTAGCTGACAACACCTGGCAGCAGGGTAAGGCTAATTCGAATTCATTTGAACATGAAGGGTTAGATACTGCAGCAGCAGTCATGAAGTCTAAGTTATATGTTATGCATGGGTTTTATGAACGTGCTTATGATGTTCACTTCGTCAATTATTAAGTAAAACCTGCCATAGTGCAGTGTTTTGACCCAACAAGAAATGAATGGGAAAATGTCACCTCAACGTGTTATCCTCACTTTGGATCCAGTCTCTTTGTGGTCAGTAACAAACTGTATGTGGCGGGGGGGAAAAGGGTGTGTAGTCAGCACGGTGAGCCGCGCGGTGAAGATGCGCCGGTGGAAGTTTTTGAGGAGAAAAAAAAGACCTCTATCTTGGTTTGGTAGAGGGAAAGTAAAACAACCACCGAACAGCTGGTCTGTTGTAGAACAGAAACATATCCCCGCCAACAATCTCGGTGCTGTGGAAATAGAAGGGAGGGTCTATTTTATCATCAACAAATTTCCAGTCGACAGTGGGATAAGAATTCAACCAGAGGACACGCGCCAGTTTTATCTTGAAGAATGGAAAAACGTAACGACTGTAAATAAGGAGGCATTCCTGTGTTATTTTCCTGTTAAAAACGAGCATTTAACATGAAATGAGCTCGGAACCAGATTTTAAGTGTCTGAACGGTTTGGTTTAAAAAAATTTACATTACATCATAAAATGTCGAAAAAATGTTTCTGTTTACGCCTTTCTTAGACCAAGGTAGTCACCCCGCAACAACATTTAGTGCGTGTTTTAGACTGAGAAGGACTGGGAAGCACCCATTTTGTTTTTTGGATTTTTAAAATCAGGGAAGTTAGAAACCTGGATTTAATGTACCGATTTTTTTCGCGATTATTCACGTCAGATAATTTAGGTACCCGCACGTTAATAAAGACTCGCGCTTTTTTACCTCTTTACAAATGATACAGTTTTCTATATGCATAAATAAAACTGAAAAGTGTTTTTTTGTTGTCTTTCGGATTTCATAGTCCTTAATTTGGAGCTATGAAATGATTATGGAGGGTCTCAATGGGTGACGGCTTTAAAGGTTAACGATTAAAATTATAGCCAATTTACGGCTACAGGTTAACGTCTTTCAATTATTGTCACCAGAAACATTTTTTTACGGTTATCTCAGTTTTTTTTACGACCAAAGGTTAAAATTTGTCAATTTTTTACGCCTTACGGTTAGATTTTTTAGCCTATTTACGGCTAACGGTTAACCCCATTGAGACCCTCACTATGTACTGAGCACGTAAAGGCCCAGGGATGGTATGAAAAAGCATATCGTCAGTTTTGCTGCTAGAGATATGTTTGTAAGTTTGTGTGGAGAAACATTATTATTGACTCTCGGTTAACAGTTTTCGGTCAGCATTAAAAGTGGCCCACAGAATCCGTAATTAAAATTGCAATTATCAGGGTTAGGGTTATATCAAGTGTGCTTATGGTTCCTGAGCGATTTTTGGGTTACGACTTAAAGAACCTAGGAAAGTGAAATTTGATGTTAACTGTACTGATCTTGAAAAATCTGAGGCGCTATAATTTAATATGCTAGTTATACTGAATCAAATTGTTACTTTCACATTGAATGTACATTTTATAATGCTCAATAAATTTGTTTGTTTATCGTCTAGTGTTTTGTCTTTGACTCGCAAAACATAACTAGACGTAGGGAGATTAGAGCACTCGTTTCCTTGCGTTCAAATATTTTCCATTCTTAGGCACTGTTCACTGGCACGTAATTACGGGTTATTTACGTACACTGAAGGATTGCCAATGTTAGGCACGTTATGGCTTATGGGATTTTACTGAATCACTCAATAAACTACTGCAACCATTCGGTTGAGATCGCGTTTAAAAGCAAGAGCAAATGAATACAGATTTCAATAAGTGCTTTGAATCGATGCTTGCTTAATGCATTCCTTTTTGAAAGATCGAGATCGAGAGATACCAGATGAACATTACTTAAAAAATCAAACTTAAACACTGACAGGCATGATTTAGCCTATTCCTGTTTTGAATTAGGCGTTACAATCAGTTTTAAGCTCAGCGTTAATACAAGATTCAAGTGACCTTGACTTTTTGCAGAATTGTCGCTGAAGGTCTATCGTTGTACCTCACGTAGTTATTACTGATACGATCTTAAGAAACCGCAATGAACTTTACACCTGACGGCAAAAATTGAGTTACGTGACAAATGCAAATTTGTCTATCTTTAAATGTAAAGTGTCTATAAATTCCTTGAAGGAGAAATCAATTAAAATTTAGCGTCCTTAGTACTCAGAAGTTTTGAGTCGCGGACGGCGGCCAAAGAATGGAATAAATTCTGGTGAGTCTTGACAATCAATTGGAAGACTCTTGCCTTAGCATCTCGGGCTTAACGGTACAAACAAAAGATCTGTTGTAACCGCCAGGGAAAAAAACTCTAAACTTCCGGCTGGTTCCCGTGTTACTGAAATGTATTTTCATAGGCGCACTAAGTTAAATACTTTACGGAGTGTTTTGTGGTGGAAAAATCGCAATAATTGAACGACATCAGGCGCAGCTGTAACCCTTTTCTTCTAAAGTATCGTAAGATTAAGCCCAAATGATCTCAAATTCCTTGCCTCTTAATATTCATCTTTCTCACCCTCCCCTGGGCGATATGCAAATGCTGCCTAAATCAAGTTCCCTAATTGATCTCTGGTCACGCGATCAAGCGAATGACGGGAGTCGTGCGAATTCAACTGTCTCTCGTCCTAAAATGGCTGCATCCTCTGAGATTTTACTTTTAAAATGCGCTAAGTTTAGGGATGAGGGTCAATTCATCGACGTTCGATTAAAAGTCAGCGACGACGTTTTTACAGCTCATCGTATCGTGCTGGCTGCGAGTAGCGATTATTTCTACGCCATGTTTACAAATGGAATGAAGGAGTCCAGACAAGAAATGATCGAGTTGAAAGACGAAAGCATCACGAAAGAAAGAATCCAGGCGACTCATTGCTATGCTGCCGTCTCTGTTGGCTGCAACTTGTTCGTTGCAGGACAAGCCCCGGTTGGTGGCTTTTCCTTGTATCGTTATGACACAGAGAGTAATGCCTGGGAGATGAAGCAGCTTCCGTCCACACTGTGGTTTAACAACCTGTGTATTCTAGGAGATTACATTTATGCTATTAGTTCTAATTTAGGTCAGGTTCCTCAAAGATACAACATTGGCAAAAGGCAGTGGCAAAGCATTTCAAACCTGGGCACAAATATTTATTATCAGGCCTGCAATATTGGAGCAATAGTTCATCAATCAATATTTGTCCTCTGTGGCAATACTAACTATATAGAAGGAAGATATGAACCAGCAGTATTACATTGCTTCGACCCGGCTAAGAATGAGTGGAAAGAAAAGGCAAGAACTTGCCAACCTCATTTTGGATCCAGTCTTTTCGAAGTAAATGGTAAACTTTTTGTTGCTGGGGGCAGATGTACTCCAAATCTCAATTATCCCACACCAGTAGAAGTGTATAGCGAGGAAACCAACACCTGGTCTATTGTTAAACAAGAACATATTCCCGCCAATAATCTCGGTGCAGTGGAAATAGAAGGGAGGGTGTACTTCATCATCAATCAATTTCCATTTGACAGCGGGATTAGAATTTCACCAGGGGAGCGGTATCCTGTTCCATTGGATGAGTGGGAGAACTTAGGAAAAATTGAACAATGTGCAGTTCTTTGCTATTTGCCTCTAAAAAGAGAATATACAAAAAGTGAATGAGTTCATTCACCGTTCTGATTTAGAAGAAGAATAGACTTGACAAACAGTTCAAAAGTTAACTCATAAACAGTTGTTGTATTGCAGTCGACTTACATAAAACGTTAGTAGGTTGGTGTTACTGCTGGTCTGTTGATCCAACCTCAAAACAATTCCTGTAATCTTTGAGCACAATTATCAAGTTCATGGGTAAGAAAGGAACCCAAAAATATATGTAAATC